TCTTCTGTATAACCGATGATCGACAGATATCCAGAACCTGAGAGCCTTGAGTCTGATCCTAGCCTCTCTGACATCCTCGGGGAGCATTCCTTATGTCAAGTATGTGATTATGGGGTTCATCCAACCTGAAGGCGCTTCTTGCATTTGCGTTGACAATACTTGCTCAGCTTTCTTTTATTTTATAGTCGGGCTTTCCCGGTGCAGACGTGTATGACGTCATACGTTGGAGGGGGCTAAACTGAGACCCTCCTCAGTTTAGCTCGGAGGGAGTTATACGTTGGTCTCTCCACAGTGCAGGCGTGTATGACATCAATCACTGGTGCTGCTTCATGAGACGCATCGACCCCTTTCCCCGTCGAGCCCCTAAGAGCTTTTCTATTAATGAACTATCCCAGATGCCCTTCTCAGACCAGTTGCTTGAGGAAGGACTTATACACTCTGCAGTCTTCTTTCAAATGCCCTATATCCTTATGATAAGAACACCGGGATGCCGAGTCCCTTATTGATGGGTCTCCTTGCATCCTGGGGGGCCATTTGAAGAAGTGCTTGTCTTTATCTTATGCAGCATTTTATAAATGAGCTCCTTGAAGAATGTACTGACCACTTGAAAGGACAAGTGATTCAGGGGCAAGATGGGTGTCCCTCTCCTTGCAGGCGGTTCCTTCTCCCTTTTTCTCGGCACAGAGGCCCTATTCTTGGGCATGAGGGATTCTTCCTCCACCCGGGCCTACTTGTTTATTTAGGCTATCAAGTCTTTCATGTCTCCTGGAGCTATTTTAGTAAGTGATCTGTAGAGGTCGGTGTCTCGGGACAATCCCAGCCAAAATGATGCTGCGGCCATTGCCTCCGAGCACGCTTCGGCCTCGTTAACCTCCTCCCAGTATCAGATGACATACTGTCGCAGGGACTCTCCACCTCTCTATTTGAGCATCAGTAAAGCGCCGATGTCTTTAGGCCTTTTACTTCTAGTGATGAATCAAGCTACGAAGAGCTCGATCATCTGCCTCCAAGATCTGATGCTCTCACGGGCAATGTTCTCATACCACTTCATGGTAGTGTCCCCCAAACTCATGAGAAAAACTCGACACAATATCCTTTGATTAGTGTCATAAATGGACATCAACTGCTTATACTGTCGTAGGTGACTCTCAGAATCCGTCCTCCCATCATAATTTTTGAATCGGGGGACGGTGAACTTATTTGACATTTCGGTCTCCTTGATCGCCCGTACGAATGAGGAAATGATTTGCTCGTCCTCGTCTCCATCTTCCTCGGGTTTGGGTCTCCAGCCTCGGTCATTGAGGTGCGCCCGGGGGTCCCCTCGGGGTTTTCCTTCTCTTAGCTCCTCGCCGTGGACTCCGTCTGGGACTCATTTGCCACGGTATCTCTTGGTAGCTCACGACAGAGCTCCCACCGAGACAGGCCCACCTTGTGGTGATCCCACTTCGATCCCTCCTCAGAAGCAGGCTTTTCTTAGCTTTGTGGGTTACGCCTCTCGGCCGTGTGCCCTTTCAAGCTTCCCCCGGGGGTATCTCGTCTTACACCCCTGGAGTCGCCTCGACTAAGACTCCGGTCCTCCCGCTCACTGTTTAGCCAACTAGCACTCCTCGACTGCTGGAAACCATTGAGCCATCGTCGTATCTTAGCGTTATTCCTCTCAAGTTGCTTGATGCGCTTTCCCGTCCACTTCTCCACCAACTTAACGATATCATGAGCCAAAAGACCTTACCCCCCCAAGGCCTTGATCCACGGGGAATGTTCGTTGCGAGGAATGCTCCCCTCAGTCTGACTGGCCCAAGGGGCCTGATTCTGTGACTTCTAGGAGTTGGGCAGCCTCTGCATTTCTCACGCGTAAACTCTCTCCCCCATCACCTTGGGATCGTGTGTTCACCATGATATAACCGCTACGGGAAGACGTTTGTGTACCACTACAACAAATTTGTTTTTTAGCAACAAATTTTGGCGACGAACAATAAAATTTGTTGTAAAAAAGTGATTTTTAGCGACAATTTCAAATGTTTGTCGTGGTAAACTTTTTTATGATATTTTTCGTGACCATTTTTTGTAGTCGTCACTAATAGTTTTCGCAAAAATGTTCCCTCCAAAAAAAATTGGCGCTAAAAGCTAATTTTATGGGCGACAAAAAAAAATTGTCGCCAATATAATTTTTCAGTCGCAAAATTTTTGTCAAATAACGAAAAATAAGAAAATAAAAATAATAATACTTAGTGACAATTCATGTTTGTGGCAGAAAAGAAAGTTACATTTTTTTTGTTTGGCAACAATTTATATTTTGTAGCAAAATATCACTACAAAAAAAACGTTTTACTACGATGACTTTTTGCGATGTGTAAGAAAAATTGTCACAAAAAAAAAACATTTTAAAATGTGTAAGACAAACCAATGTCTTTAATTTTTGTCCCACATCGACAAATGAGTTAAGATTGAGAGGGCTGACTTGCCTATAAAAGGCAATAGGCTCTTGCCTTTTTATTTTAGCCTTAAAGTTTGATTTTTATGTGAGATTTGATTAAATTTTTTTTTTTTAGATACGTACAACTGATAGTAAAAAAAGTAGAGTATTAAAATTGTTGATTTCTTTAAAATTAAACGGATTAAATGAGTTGTGTCGTGTTACCCATTTATAAAATTTGTTCATTTGTTATTTGGTGTCGAAAATATGTTAGTCGCAAAAAATATACTTTGATTTTCAGCGACAAATATTATGTCATCACAAAAAAAAAAAATATGACTATAATATAAATTTTTTCTGCGACAAAGGTTTTTTTTTTTACAAGTAGATGAATTTTTAAGCGACTAAGTTTTTTGTCATTGATAATTTACTTTAACAACGATACTTTAGTTGGTCGTCAAAAACTTTTAGTGGCGAGCCTGCCGCGACAAATTGGCAACCAAGTTTTTTTGTCGCAGAAAATTTTTAGCTGCAAATTATTCAGTTTTAGCGACGATTTTTTTTGCCACTAAAATACATTTTTCTTGTAGTGTACCTTCCCACAGATGGCGCCAGATTACATGAGAGATTTTCTGCAATAAATTGAGATAGCGATTGCCTGTATGATGAACCTGAAACAACCACAAGGTCAGAAAAGGGGCCGGGTGAACACCTGACTCGTCCCCTCTGAAGCTTAAGTTAGTATAAGATTAGAGGCTTGAACACAATGCATTCTCTATTTCAGTTCTGTTTTGGGTACCTTTGTTCATTTTTCTGAAGAGTATTTATACCTGGGTTAGCAATGAGTGCAAAGGCTTTAAGTCTCATCTCAACATTTAATGTTTGTCACTCTTACCCATGCGCAATGAGTGTTCTCTACTCAAATCTTCGTACATTTACTGCTCGGATGATTGGACAAGTGCTCGGGGCCATATCGAGAACTTATGGCTATCCTCGGGAACTCAAGTTTCTCTGATCGACGCCTTCCGAGTGTTCAATGCTCGGGGAACAGTACCCTGGGGCACTCCGATGAGGTATACTCGGTGTAATAGTTATTAATGTCTAGCAATCATGACTGTAGGCTTAGGTCTTGAGGATATAGGGGCTCATTAGTAGTCCTGTCTCAATCACTCGCATCGTCATAAATGAGTGATCGAGTCATATTAAATGCGGGTGTCAATTTGTATACTCGACTCCTCCGAGCCATTACTCCTCGGCGCCTTTTGAATTCCATAACGGCTATACCTTCACACGTGTTGATTTGGGGGCTGCTAAGTCGCCTGAAACCCTGTCAGTTACCTAATAATGTTTCAGTCAATGATGTCTCGATAAAAAATTCAACAGCTAATGTTATAATTTTGTTGTCAGATCATTTATATAATGTTACATGATATTGTGTTTTTTTACCCAGATCATTAGATCCGACCATTTATTTTACGTTTTAAAATTAAATTTTAATTTTTTTAATCATAATAACTAAACTTATGTATTAAAAAATAAAAAGCACGGGATACCCTAGTGTTAAATATTAGGGCTGATCAAACTCAAAAATAGTGAAAGTCTTTGTCTACGCATTAATCGTTTAAGTTGAGTTTAGATTGACTTGTTCAAAATTACTAAAAAAAAATCTAAACATCATATTTTAAAAATAAAAGTAGAAGTAGTGAAATAAGTGGTAAGAAGGTACAATGCATTTTGAGATATTGGCAATTATATTAAACCATATCCCCTTGAATGTGCCCTAACTTTTGATTCTGGTCCTAAAGTGCCAACATTTTCTATGGATGGTTTTAGAATTCTTTAATTCTTCCGTGTTTGGACACTAAAAGAGAAAATAATCATGCTTTGGCTTCTCTTTTGGCGATCCACCACTATTCCACATATCAAATATATTTTTGGTGACAATGTCAGGTGCTTTACTCATAGTGACCCGTCGTAGTTCTATTAATTTTTTTTGGTAATGAGGAGGAACTATCCCAACTAGCACCCTTTGGACTTATAATTGTATCGCAAAATTTGAACGCATGTAATAATTTGCAAATTAAGCACCTTTTATGTGACCAAGGGTTTCGAACTCAAAGTGTAAGAGTTTATTTGTGGCTTCTTGTTCGATCATTAAACCAACTCATTGGATTTCTCTGATTGCAAATTTAAAGAGGCACATTAAGCTACAACAATAGGTATAGCCTTAATTCTAAGGGTAGTTTAAGTGGTAATAAAATGAGGTGTAAATTCAGATTTTCTGAGTACGAATATTGGCAACTTCTTGAGGTCATGACATGAAAAATTGATCTTTCAAAAATACCCTCTGAAGGGATAACTTGTCTTTGATCAGATCAAAAAGATGATTAATCGAGGTACGTGTAAACTAGTCCGGTGATCCCTAACCGTTGAAGTTTAAAAATAAAAGAAGCAATAGGTATGGCCTTAGTTTATAAACGTGAAGCCAGCTTTTGTAACTTCTTTATGAATTTGATGCATAGATAAGATAAGAAATCTGAAAAACTGAAGCATGGGCCTTCAACAGAGATAAGGGCACCATTATTTGTTAGGCCACTTGCTCATTTGGGTGCCAAAAGGGATCAAAATGGAGACCAACAGAAGAAATTAAAGGTATTCCCTTTGATCCCATGATTTTGATCTTCACACTATACCCATGCAAAACTCCCTTCTCAAGCCTGTGAAGCTTCTTGTACCCTACCGTGGTCCCACTAGCCACCCGGGCCCCGTCCACGTAAATTTCATGCCGTTTGATCCTTTGACCTAGCCCGATCGCCTCTTGAATCCTTACCACATTGAATTTCAACTTTTCATTCGTTGCCCTCAATTCAATCCAATGATCTTCTTTATCTTCATCATTCGGAGCCCAATATGTCCATAAATGGTCATTATCTATCACATTTTTGGGTCCGAAACCACCATTTTTACCTCCTCTTTGGCTACTTGCTTTGATGGAACATTTTTCAGCCAAGTTGGTGGAAAAAATGGTGTCAATTGCACCCTTAAATTCTTTCAGTCGGTGGACGTCAGTTTCTGATATCAGGCCGGTTGTATTTGGTGGTACATTAAGAAGCAACACACAATTTCTTCCCACGGAATTGTAGTAGATTTCAAGTAGCTTAGAGAGCTTTTTGGGTGATTGTGATTTATGCCAAAACCATCCTGTTCGGATTGAAACGTCGCATTCTGCCGGCAGCCAATCAGTCCCTCTCGGGTCGCCAGTATTAAGATAACTACACCATTTATAATATAAATGTGTTAGATAGATAGTCACTATGTGTTTAAATATGCTGCTTTATGTGTTATACCTAACACGGGATATATTCCCCTTTGTCAATCTTGTGTGCTTTTTGACAGTTGAGAAACATGGAAAACCCCGTGTCAAATATAAATACTAGTGGGAGTAAGTTGCAAATGAATCGGAGTCAAAATTGTTTAAGCTCAAGTCGTTTATTCGCAAAAAAGATTTAAAGTCTCGGTTTAAACCATATCAAGTTTGAAAAATCTTGTTTAAACTCGACTTTTTTTTTTTCTTGTTTTGAACTCAAGCTTAGCTTGACAATCATTTGATTAAATGAAACAAGTTCGAGACTATGTTTAAAATTAAACTCGAGTTTATGATCAACAACATAGATGAGGGTGGCCATCTAATTTATTAAATGAATTTAAAAATTGAGCTCAAACTTAGATCATTACGTAAAAAGAACAAGTTTTAACTCGACCAAAACACAAACTAAGTTCAAATTGTTCATAACAACTTATTTTTTCCACAGTTCTAAATGAAGATAATTGTCTGGTGCAGTGGTAAAAGTGTCAATCTAACAACTATTGATTAATTCTAGTCTTGAATTGGTGGGTAGTTACTTTGTACAAATAAAGTCAAAGATTAGGGTTGCATGCATGTGTTATTTCCTCTCATACATCCTTAATTATTAGGGATCAAACTTGATAATGACACTTTTTTGTGTCTACAACTTGGAAAAATATATAATATCTCCTAGGTTAGGTGACTTACTAATCCGAAAGGTCGATTACTACAAATACTAAGAAAGTAAGCAAAGTTAAGTTATATATGTATATTCATGCTCAATCTAATGCATCTCTTGCTTACCAAACTGGGTTTTCCATTTCTAAAAGCTAAGACAAAGTCCAATATTCACACTAAAGATTGGATTGGGGTCCGGAAAAAGAAGGGAAAACAAAGACAAAGGTAGCGTTAGCTTGATAAATCATATTAATTACTTACTCAACTATGCTTCCATTTCCGATTGACAACGATGTTCGATTAATTGTGGACCAGCATGTGCTCCCAGCAAATCCGTTTTCATTTCCGACCCACCTAACACCCGGTCCGGCATCGGAGAAAATATTAATGGTGCTTTGTAATTCGTTCACCATTGAAAACCAGTCGTTAAAGTAGTAGGACATGTTTGGTGCATTTGAACCCTTTGCTCCATCAAACCATATTTCTCTTACGCTTCCATAGCTGTGAACAATCCCAAAATGGCATATGATGGTCAAATGGGAAAAAGGTTGGAATTTTGTAGAGACAATATAAATTTGAGCCGAATTAAGCTTTACTCGAACTAAGTCACATATTGCTCGGAATACACTCATTTACAAAACCAAAATATGTTGAGATTCGATTTATTTTATAATTTAAATTAGCCTAAAATACGAGTCGAGCCAAAGTTATCCGGATCCGATCTTTTAATAACCCACATAGTCTAATTATTCTATACTTACTTGTTGAGTAACTCTTGCAATTGGGCTAAGTAATATTCATTGTACTCCTTATTCCGACCATACCGACGATCATGGCGATCCCAAGGCGAGAGATACAAACCGATGTCAACGCCACGAGCCTTCGCCGCATTGACAAGCTCCTGAACTACGTCCCCATGGCCATTTTTCCAGGGACTTCCTATCACTGAGTGGTCTGTGTATTTGGAAGGCCACAAGCAAAAGCCATCATGGTGTTTTGCGGTGAGTATCGTAAGAGAAACACCGGCCTGGACAGCAGTGTCGACCCACTGGTTCGCATTGAGGCCAGTGGGTATGAAGATGGCCGGATTTTCTTTTCCTGTGCCCCATTCTGAGTCTGTGAAGGTGTTGACACCAAAGTGATGGAACATTATGATCTCCCTTTGTTGCCATTTCAACTGAGAGTATGTTGGTAGTGGAAGAATTGGCAATGGTGGTGTTGTTACTAACTCTGGCTTCGAAAAAGTGAGTTTGAGAGGTAGGATAAACAATGTGATAACCCACAAAAAACTTGGGGGCTTGGCCATATTTCTCTCTCTGTCTCTCTCTCTAAGAATGTGTGCTGATGAGAGAGCGGTGGGGACTGAATAAAAGGAAAGGGGGGCAAATAAAATATGTGGAGGAATTCTTGGGATGGAGCCAAGCCAAAAGGTAAGAAAGATGTGAGAGAGATATCTTGTGACTGGAGTTTTGTTTGATTCTGATAATTGTCATGAAATTCTTCTTCTTGTTATATATGATGCAATCATTCACGGGTTGGCTTACATTGTATCTGTCTGTCTGCTTGAACCTTAGTGCTGGAAAGATTTAATGGGTTTTTCCTTGTGGAATTACTTGGATGGAGAGAAAGAGAGAGAGGACCTTGGATAACTGAAATAGTAATTACTCGGGATACCCATAATTCAAGATTGTAATTCCTAGAATTTATATACGAGCAACGTTACATGAATTTAAAAATTTACTAATGTTATTGAAACATAATTGAATAACATAATTTAGGGATATAATGAGTTATCGCCAATGAAATGATAGTGAAATGTATTTAATGATGAGTCTCATTGTAGTATTAATAAATTCATTATCATATCATTGGTGACAACTCATTATGTCCTCCAATTATGTCACAGTAGTATTGCTCTTAAAAATTAGATTCGATAATTTCAACTATTGAATAAGTAATTGATTTCAATAAATACTGGGACCCACAATAAAATCAATAGTTTTAATTATCAAGTCTAATTTTTAAATTTATGTAGCATTACTCTATATATATTCTAAGGGATCCAGATTACCCATAGTGTATAGATGAGAGACTCATTTATAAGTAATGAATTTTACTTAAATTTATGATAAGTGATGAACCATTGAACAAAAGTAAATGGAGAGTTTTTGAATTGTGATTTTTGGTTTCAACTGTCAGAAGTGTTCGAATTAGTTTATGTGTATCTCGATTAATCTTCTCTTCAGTTCAGTTAAAACAGATTATTTACACTAAAATTAAGATATTTTTGAGAAATAAATATCTCATAACCTAACTTAATAAAACTGTTAAGATTCGAATTTATAACATCAATTTCCAATGTAAAATGGCAATGTACAATCACATGGAAACATATTAAAGAACTACAAATTCTCGTACCAATACCTCTAGTGCTATTTTAATTACAGTAATGTTACACTGACCAAATTTTAGAATCAAATTTGAAGTCCAAATGACATGACATTTGACTTGAACTTTTTTATTTGGTGTCATGTCATTTGAGTCCCAATAAAAATTTCAAATAATATGCTGTCATATCATTTGAACTCTAAATTTAATCTCAAAATTTGATCAATATAACATTATTCTTTTAATTATAAAACCCACATCAAATCAAGTTTGGTGATCCATGTATTGATTGAACCCTTGATTCTTCTATTGATTTATTTTCTCAATTTGCACGATCCCTTCTCTGACTTTTTTTTTTGGATTCTCCAAGGATTCTCTTCTTTATTTTCTTCAATATTTTTCTCATTAAAAATAATGATTCAATTGCATCCAATTAATGCCCAAAATCAACGCCAACCACCGAAAAATCTGATTATTACAAAAAAAACAAAAAATAGAGGTCTGCGCACTCTTACATGACCAACTTAATGTGAAAGATCTCTTCTCCACTGGTGGTCAAATGTTACCTTCAACCTCTGCTAGGCCTTCTATCTAGGTCTTGGGAATAGACCATTATCATCTCAAGAATGGCTGTATATGAGGAGACAGTTCCTCAAATTAGTAGGGGATATTTAGCCGGTAAACGATTGGATATATTCATGCTCATCCCTTGGATTTGATTTATTTTAAATTCAATTTGATCTCGTTTGTTTAAAAAACGAGCCTTATAAATTTGGTTCAAACTCTCAAGATCAACTCATTTATATATAAAATAGTTAATCTATTCAAGCTCGAGTAATTCTAGATTGACCAAAATTATAGACTAAAAAGAGTAATCAAATGATATGGCAACTGACTTGACGTAAAAGACGGCTGACCAATTAGTATGCAATATTAATTCACTTCTTTCCTTAATTTGCACAATGTGGTTATTCAACCAAGAAGAGTAATTGGTTAGTCGCTTTCCACGTCAGCTACCATGTCATTTGACCATTCTTTTTTGTCTCTAATTTTGGTCAAGATAACATTACTCTTTAAGCTCATGTCGTTTTGAGCTCGACTTGAGCTCACTTTTTAAAAAAATGAATAGAACTTAAACACTTTGCTACAGTGTTTTAAAACCCGGCCCGGCCCGGCCCGCGGGTTGACCCGGTACCTAAACCGGGCCGGTTCAAGAATTAGACCGTTTGTGCATCAAACCCAGAATAAACCCATTGAACCAGATAAAAAATTGTTGAATTGTTCAACCCGGGCGAATTAAACCAAATCGGATGGTTCATTTAGTTTAGTATAAATAGCTGAGTTTTGCCCCTATTTGGCATTTTGCCCTAAATTGTCTTCGCCTCTGCCTCATGAACGACAGCTATCTCCAACGTGAGTTCCCAACTCTGCCTCTTTGTCTTCGGCTTTGCCTCCTAGAGTCCATTGCGCAAAGTGAAGAGAACAAGGTTTAAGAGATTTCTAGATAGGTTTGATCAGCTTGGAGGTTTCTTCAATGGAGAATTAGGGTTTGGTTTTGTGATGAAAACAACATCGATTTGGTTGGGTTTCTCGTCTTCTTCTTCTTCTTCTTTGAGCTTCTAACACGAAGACCTCTATTTTTGCTCTATTACTTTATTTTTGCATCACCTCTTTCTCTCTAAACTCTAAACTCTCTCTGCCCCTCTAAAATTTTCTGCAATCAAAGATTATAATTGGTGGTAGAGATTACTTTTACTCCTGTATTGTGTTTCAACAGGTAATTTTTGTTACTTTTACTCCTTTATTGTGTTCATAATTTTATCTCATTTCTCTTTGTTTAATTTTTTTTCGTCTGTGCCTCTGCTTTCTAGATTGAAGTGAAAGAAATACAGTCTCTTACTCTCTTATTCTCGCAATTTTAATTTCAATCTTGATTGAAGTGAAAGAAAAGCCAAAGTGATTCGATCGATCAGAGCTCCATCAAGCATCAACGACTATAGGAAGTACATACTCTCTCTCTATCTCTCCCTGACTCTATGTTATATCTAATTTTTTGTTTACATTTTTGGTGTAGAGTATTGAAATATACATTGAATCTTTGATTAATAATGCTATATTTTATACTGAAGTTTTGATTTCTTATACATTGATTGACTTTGAACTTTGAAGAGTGCAAATTACATGGATTATGCTTGGATTAATGCATAGTAGGAGAATTGAAGCTTTGAACTGAAATAGATGTATTTTTCTCTATTGAACTTTATAAGTTGTATTGGAAATTGAATGTATTGGATACATGTTTAATGATTTTTCTCTACTTGATTTTATATGCTTGATGCTATTTTTATAATTATTGTGATTTTTTAGCCTATTTATTAGTATTTATAATTATTTTTTATTTTTTTATTATATGTACCGGTCCGACTAGTGACCTAACGATTAAACCAGTGATTCATTGACCCGATTCATTTGCCGAGTTATTGTCCGGACCAAGTTTTAAAACTATGCTTTGCTAACCGTTTTTAAAAACAAAACTTGAACACTTCGCCAACCGTTTTAAAAACACAAGCTTATCAAACTCAAGCTATCACTTAAAGTTGTGCTTCCTTAAATTTGGGATACAAAATTTAGTAAACATAACATTACTTTTTTTCAAGTTACCAATGGAGCAAAATTCTTACCGGGAAAAAAAAAAAAAAAGGTTACCAATGCTCAGTCATAAACCATTGTTCCTGTATTCGTTGTCAAGGATATGGGTATGGTACTAAAAGAATTAAGGTGTCGAAGGATATAACTAAATAAACATTAATTATAGTTTATTTGGATCAAGTTATTATTGAATGGGGTCCAGTTAAGCCTCAATAAAGGTAGGAAAAAGTATCTTTGTGTAAAAGTATTTCAATATAAAATAATAACAATTGTCCGTATCTGAAATCACGGTGTTACTCGTAAATTAGTTATAAATATTTATTCATACATAAATGTAAAGAAAAATATAACATTGTAGTAAACAAACAAAATGAGTCTTCTAATATTTTTTATAACATCAACCTATATGCATAACATATATTTTCATATTAAATTGTTACACCACGAAAATTATGTTATAAGTACTGAAATATAATAATTCAAACATCTGAAAAAATATATCAGTTAATAATATTCAATGTTTTATTTTTGATTCAAAATCCACGATTTTAATATTCATAATTAATTTTATCTAAATAATAACATAATTCATAACTAATAGAATGAAAATTATAAACATACTCTCACAAATAAACTAAGTCTGCAGATGTTGTCAGATGACCAAATATAACTATCAGAAATTCAACGACTTCTAAAATATACGACCTGACTATTGAATTTGTATGATTCAAGTTTATAGTAATGCTTTTAATTTTGTATCATTTTTTTTGAATTATTTATATTTTTAGTATATTTTCTTAAACTGAACGTTATTTAGTATTGAATGATTTAATAAAAATTATTGTTTCGTGTTGTTCACTAAATATTGAATTTGTATGATTCGTGGTCATAATATTGCTTATAATTTTGTATTGTTTCTCTCATTTGTAATTTTGTATCATTTTTCTCGAGTATTTAGATTTGAATTATTTAGTAAATATTGTTGTTGTGTGTTGTTCACTAAATATTGAATTTGTATGATTCATATTTGTATATAAATTTAATTTTGTATATTTTGAATGTTAAGTATATTTTCTTTAATATATCTCTTGATATCTGAGTTACCCAATACAT